CAAAGTAACGAGATACACTACGCTCTGCTGATCAGAGAGCTATAGATATCTTAATAAATCGGGTTAGTTCTGTTTGATTGCTTCGAAACGGGCATCTGAGCTGGACAATAAGCATGAAAATTGTCGCATAGCGTGAAAATATGTATGAAATCAACATTATACATTATCAAATCAAGCTGATATTTCCTTCGTTAGCTTTATAAAATGCTGGTAATAAATGGCGCCCATTAAGCTACCTTTAAGTATTTAATTCTTTAACTACATGACTGTTTAGACCTGGAATTTACGCTTTTCGAGAATCGAAAACATGTTTATTCATTGTTCAAGTTGATTGAAACGGCTCAGCAGAACACATTATATCAAGTCATTCCTGAAACTGCTGACTTGAAATCAACCGCATGTGCTCGTTTTCCGATCATCCAGCCGACCACTGCAGTACCAAGACCAGTAGTAAGTAAATAAGCCGGGTTCTTGTACTAACCTCCGTGCGGTAACAGATTGGAGGTGAAGCAAACATGTTTCCTATGCTGCCCCCTCACAATGCCTTCTTCATTTGCTCAAGTCACGCTGCAGCATGCAGTCCGTGAAGATTCGTTCAAGTGGCTGCGCTTCCCGTCGCTTTAAAATTATGCTACCCAACATGCGGTTGAATATATTCTTGTTAATTTGTAACGTAATCGAATCGCAGTAACTATACCTACTTCAGTAGTAGTTCATCTCCCTTGAAGATTTAAAACGTTGTGATTTGTTAAATATAAAGTATGCGTAGATTAAACCCGTGGAAGAACTTTACGATGAAGAACTTAGTACCCGCGTAAAGAACTCGTTTCTTTAAATACTCCAGTGATAGTGTTATATTGTCTTGGTTCAGTCGCTAATAAATCTTATTTCTTGTTGGAAGACTGCACGATGCGGCACAAAACTTTAATCGTGCTCTCAGTGCATCAATCCGAATTGAATTTCCCATTCTCTCATTTCAGTTTGTAGTAGGAATATGCTTTCGTTAAAAGGATTTAGATCATTTGCCGATTTAACTTCAGATCAGAAGGCTCCATGATCTACGGCGCTGGTAGCTGGTCCAGTATCAAAGTCGAGAACGAACTGAAGGTCACGCAAGTAGCGAAGGATGTGCTAGGTCTTTCTCTGGGATCACGTTCCGATCGCATAAATTTAACAACTAACTAGATCAACAGATGTGATCTTCACCTTGTACAACGCCGAAAGACAATGGGCCAGTCATGTGGCTAGCCTGAGGGACAACAGATAACGATTAAGTTTGCGAACTAGGTGAGGCTGAACCACAAACATCCTCTCGATCGTCCAGTTCAGGCTTGAACGAGTCGATAGACAAATTTTTTGACCAGCGGTGGAGGCAAAAAGCCAAAACGAAGAAACTTGGAGAAACCTATATTCATAGCGTACTGACAACGAGCAGCGATGAAGCGTCAAAGCAAGAATGAAAACAGTGATATCGAACAAAATATTATTGCCAGGATGTTCTTTTGTTAAAAGAATGAAATACCACAGCGACGCAGGGCGGAGGCATTGAGGAAATGGACAAAATCATTGGTGATCGTGCTTGGTGACTGATAGCTTAGTTGATAAACTCAGTCGAAAGATTATTGGTTCTAATCTGCTCGAACTCACTTTTCATCTTTCTGGAGTAGAGAAATGAGTAGTTACGTATGAAGGAAGTAGAAGCCTATACGTTTTAGTGACTTCCTAGCTGTTGCCTTAAATACATAGCACCGCGCATTGTTACGTAGATCGTAAACCGCGTTAATTACCATGCAGTGTTATGAATCACGGAAATATGCCAGAGATGACATTTCAAAAATAAAAAGTTCTTTTCAAGCCTCTTGAAAGATTCAGGATGCATGGAAGAATAACCAGTTGTGCGCCATGCTGCCTAGTTACTTTGCGTAGGATTTCTTCGTTTTGTACTACATTAAGTGCAGTTATATATTGCCATCGGTTTTCCATGATCCAACCCTAACATACCCGTCGGAGAGCGCAGAACGACAAGGCTGTCAGAAAATCAGGTTAAATGCTGCAGAACCTTTGCTCCTCAGTAACAGCCATCTGCCCAGAAGCAGTCAGCTAACGACAGTTAATGATAATTGAGTTTCACTTGGCTTAATTTTTAAAGCAATTAATTGTTTGGAGAAAGATACTCAAGATAGAACCCGGACGGAAGGATGGAAAAGCAATATCTACATGTCCGCAACGATGACTTTTGGGATTCATTCATCGCGTGGTTTATTTTCAAACTAAATGACAATTCACGCCTTAGGCCTAAAAAACCTAAACGACGTCGAGTCGAAGACACTAGCAAACCATGACCAATACACTGTCCACCCACGCTGATGGCATAATTGGATAAATACAGTGCAGTTCGATGAACAAAATGATATATCGCTAATATACAGGGTTGCTCCTATCACTTATGCTGTTCCATTTTGCAGGTAACCTTTCCTTACTGGAATCAACCCCTTCACAAGTTGCACTACACAACTGCACAACCCCCAACCACTACCACATCAACAGTCATTAAGACAGCAGGCACGACCGTGATGCCGTCGAAGATACCGGCTACACTTTCTCCCACTCCCCGAAACTTGTCAACGACTACTAGCACATTGGTTAACGATAAAAAAGAGCCAAAAGGTCCTGCTGGTATAAGTAAGTGAATTTTATTCATTCGAAATGTAGACCTATGCTAATGGTGTAGGCATGTTGTGCATGACAACTGTTATGTAATCTGTAATGCTTCTAAGTTATATATATTATCCATCATCTTCCACTTATTCTTGTTCGCTTCGCTGCCGTAGGATCGCAATGAACGTTCTGACCAGAACCGTTGTTCTGTACTTTCGACAAGGCCCCACTGTCCTTGGCAGCTTACTCACTACGTAGATAACCAAATTTAAGCGTATTGCATTGTCCTTCGCGAGTAACGCAAGCGGGACTCAGTAACAGGAATTGTTCAAGTGCACATAGCAATGCGAGAGCTAGGCAGCTAGGCAATGGCAATTGTGATCTTCCCTTCAAAGTCTGCCTACGCGCCCACCTTCATTTACGGTTGAAGTGCTAAATACGGAAGAGTATGATCCAGGATACAAGCGGCACAGATCTGGTTCCGTCGAAGTTGGTTTTGATGTTTAATAAGTATGAGGGAGACTGCAACCGCGCGACTGATATTTCACAAATGCTTCTCATATTAAAACGACTTTCTGGTATTTTAAGATGTGTATCAGTCTCTGGTAGAGGATCAATCAAAATACCCAAAATTCCCATCATATTGATCTCTGCATGTAGAAACGGTGTAACATGCATCCCAGTACCTGATACTTGTAAAATCAATTATCGAAATTCAGCTTCCCAATTATGAAGCAGTTTTCAAAACTTTCAGCTCATCAAATTTTTACTTGCGTTGAATTTCAGAGCTTGTGCCAATTCCGCGACACGGTAAACTTGACAAGTTTTCTGTTGTTGGTACTGAGTATATGCTTGGGGTAAGATCGGTCGCTGAACATGACTTCTAAGTCAACATTGCGATTCTGTTTTCACTCGAGAATATTATTCATTCGTTTACATCAGCTGAATCTATTATCGAGCAGTTCAGTTTTACCAAAGAGCGCTAAAACAAAGATAACAGTTTCAGTAAAACTTAAAATCTGTTTCATCAATTTTCAATCTGGTGCCTTGTACTTACAGATAAATGGAGAAAACCATTTCCATAACGGAACGTCATCGCGTTAAACTTTACATAATGCATTTAGTAGTGGCAATATCGTTGACGTTGATCGTCCTAGCTGTACTGCTATTCGGATTGATCTATTACTGCCGACGCAGAGTAGCTCATGGTGACACCTACGACACACAAGAAAACTACAAGAAAGGTCAAGACCATTTCGACGAAATTGGCCCAGGTATGGCGTTTTCGTTAAAATATGTTCATTTTTCATTAGCGGCTTTATATCCGACAATCCTCCGACGTTGTGCCGTAGAAATAGTTTAAATTGTAGGGCATGCAAGCATCAGAAAGTGTATGACGGCGAGATTTGTTTTTCAGTCAGAATTCCTCGTCGACTATTTCATATACGTTCTGAGTTAACTGCGCTCCTCGACAAATTTATCTGAACTGTTTAGAATTACAAGCACGCAAATGTCTTTTAATGACTCACTTAAACCTGAAACTTGAATTTTAAATTGAGCACCACATCGTGATAAGGCATTTAATACACAGACAGCGCTAGCGAAATATCCGCGCTTTGTTCGAGTCAAAAACGGACAGCTGCGGGTGCCCAAACATAAGCGAAAATCAGTAATTCTATTTTATCCAGAATCCAGAGTATAAGTGCTGCCTTAATTCTTAGAATATATATTTAGAAACGCCTTTGGTGGATCCGACTGATCCTGAACAAAGTTTGAAGAGAAAAGGATCAAAGGATATAAGCGAAGGCAGAAACGGAAAGGATGTAGGAAAGGTAAACTCTAAGTCAGTAACATCAATTAATGATTTAACATTCACTGCAGATGTCGCCAAAGCACTCGCAGAGTGACAAGCCACGGTTGGTATCGTCAGGAGCATACGATTACAGTTCGGACGACATGAAATATGTGGATGACAATGAGAAACGTCTGTCACATGAGTATCCGCCGCCAACGCCATTAAGAAAATTTAAAAGGATCGTCTAAGCAGAAGCCTGGCTGCTATAGATATTCTGAAAGCATAAAACTGTCAAATGGACAAGAACTGTAGTACTGGCGTAGCAACGTCAATTTAGTTGAAATTGTCAATTTTGTATGTACAGATATACACAGAAGCAAAAACTATGATTTGATGGTATCTGATTTTGTATTCCGCTGGTCAGTCTTCATCAGCCAGGACAACACAAAGAAGGTTCAGAATTCATGTGCCGACGGGTTCGTCGTTATGCTTCACGGGTTCCTGGATCATTTCTGGGACTCTTAAATCAAAAATTATTAAGCAGTGAGTGCCGAAGTGTTGTTACCATACTCTGAATCTTCCAACTTTAACTTTTTGGTAAGGATTTTTTCCTCCACAGTGGAATCGCTATCTTCTTTTATTCTTTTGTATGACTGCTGGTTTCGACGATCGTCGCCTTCATTTTCATGCTCGTAAAACTCCGCAACATGTTCACGCATTTTGTCCTGAGTTCGAACTACAATACGAAACGCATAATATATGCTAAAAACATTCGTTAAAATGACAACTTAAAAGGCTAGCCAACATATGAAAAACATGGAAAGTGAAAAACAGAAATTTCGTTGTTACAGTTTATGAGTTAATACCTCCAATTTTGGACTGCAACTGTGTGTTCTCCCAATACTTTCTTCATGCTGAGTGAGTTTGACATGGCAAAAGTTTAAAAATCGAATTAGAGCGAGCATTCTACACTTATGTAAATAGTATCCGTTATTCATAGAAATATGACAGCTTAATGTCGAGTGATAGAAACTTGACTATTCTTCGGAAAAACATAACTGCATTATCAGTTCTTGAAAAGGATTTAAGACGAACAAGATATTATCAAACAAAATGATGTGACATGCTTTGACGCTCAAATGTATGAAGCCCCAAATGTTGGGACTCAAACGCATGAAGTAATGACCTGTTCAAATGATACCTCTAGGTAACTACGAGCAAGGGACGGTGCAAAACACCGTGAAATCATTTGCCTGGAAAAGATAAACGCTGAATGGAAGCTTAACGAGAACTCAAATGCTTTCAAACATTCTCACTGCACAGAGCTAAGTTATAAAACTACATTTTCGGGACGACATAAATATATTAAGCAAATCCTGGAAAACCGCATTACATATTTCAGAGCATTTCCAAAAAATGGGAGAATGCAGACAAGAGGAAATAGCTGATAATTAAATGAATGCGAAAACCTACTGAAAAAAAGGTTCGCAAAAATGTTTAAGGCAATGGTCAGTTCTTCAGAAAGGATATGGTAAAGTAGCAGAAACAGATCACTTCAGTTTACCATTTGATTGTATAAACAACGAGCGACAACACTGGCTAAAACTTCTTTCATTAGCAAAATTTCATACTACGTCAACATAACAAAAAAGTTTTACACATGAAAGATGTACTTCAACGGTAGCCGCAAAACGCTGAAATAATGAGACCAACAGTTTATAAGGTTATTAAATATTCACGCATCGGCAGAGAAAATTACCGCTTAAATTCATGGGTACTGTAACGTGAAATAAAAAAGCAACATTTAAACATTTACGTCAGAATATTAACAAAAAATATATACTAAACCAACTGGCAAAGCAAAAATCAAAAGATGGAAAGAGCAGCTACCCTGCCTTACATCATGACGCTAACGGGATGGAGGTAAACAGGGCACGACGAGTGCACAAAAAGTTAA